AAAAACTAGAAGAATAAGAGTTTTTGAAGCACTTAGGAACAGTCACAGAAAAAGGATGAGACTTAATTGAATGGCGAGTAACACGAGAATGAATTTTAGTAGATGGCACAAGGGACGCTAGCTCTTTAGAGCAGTACCCATTATAGTATTTGTAGAAAAGAGAAAGAGAAGCAACATTACGACGATGTGACAAAGGTTGGAGATTGGCTGCCAGAGCAGGTCCAACTATGTTTACAATTCGTTTTTGCACCTTGTCTAAAAGAGAAAGAGCATCATTAGAAGATCCGCCCCAGATGTGGCAACAGTATTCCATACAGGGACGGATTTGAGATTTATAGAGATAGAGAATAGAATCTGGAGTAAGAAAGTGTCAAGCTCGATAAAGAGATGCAACCTTAGCAGATGCTAATTTTTCAGAAGTAAGAGTTAATCCTAGAAGATGAATGGTAGATGACTCATCTAGTACATTACCATTCATAAATATAGGAAGATCTAAATTATTACGATAACGATTGGCCGAATAAAATTGAGTTTTATCTGAATTAAAGTTCACCAGCCACTGTGAGCCCCAAGCTGTAGCAGAAGTGAGATCCTTTTCAAGCTCAGATACTCCCTCCAAGCAATCAGAGAGTGTAGGCTTCTTATCATGACAAGAGTAAATGGTAGTGTCGTCAGCGAATAATGCCACCTTAGATGTGAGAACATCTGGAAGATCGTTAATGTAAATTAAAAAGAGTATAGGGCCAAGGATTGAACCTTGAGGAACCCCTGAAGTTACAGGATGTGAAGAAGAGTGTTGTCCATCGAGGACAACTTTTATACTACGATTGGAAAGAAAGGACTCAATAATCTTAAAGACGTTACCAGCTACACCATAAGAAGAAAGCTTATGGAGAAGACCAGCATGCCAAACTTTATCAAAACCTTTAGAAATGTCAAGTACGATAGCCTTAACCTCTCCACCTCTATCTAATGCACGGTAAAACCTATCGGTTATTACTGTTAGCACATCAGCTGTAGAAGGAGAAGACCGAAATCCATATTGATGATCAGAAAGTAAGTTATTTGATTCAAGATGAGAGATCAAGTGTTTGTTGATTAAAGATTCAAAAACCTTGCTTATGACAGGAAGAAGACTAATGGGACGGTAGTTAGATGAATCAGATCGCTCTCCGGAATTTTTGAAAATAGGAATAACAGATGCTGCTTTCCAGCATGATGGAAAACAAGACTCTGATAAGCACTTGTTAAATAGTTTAGAAAGTATGGATGAAAGCTCCGGAGAACACCTCTGCAAGACTACAACAGGAATGTTGTCAGGACCACAAGCTGTTGAAGAGTCTAAGCAAGAAATTACTTTAGATACAGAAGCTGAAGTGATGCGAATGTCAAGCAAGGGATCAACCTGTTTGACGGCTATGTCAGGTAAAACGCAACTAGTGGAATCAAGAGATGATATTGATGAAAAGTTCTTAGCAAACAATTCAGCTTTGTCTTTAGGTGAGGTGACAAAGTCTGAACCATACAAGAGAGAAGGAATAACAGATTTGCTCTTATTATTGATACTGTTAAAGATTCTCCAGAAGTCTCGAGAGCCTAATTTTTGTGATGAGATACGAGATTTAATGACCTGGGAATAGCGAGCTTTGGCGTCAGACAAAACCTTTTTACAATGGTTTCTGGCGATAGTGAACAGATGTGTGTTTTCTGGAGAATTGTTTTGCTGATAGATATGGAAGTAACGGTTTCGATTAGAAATTGCTGCAGCGCAATGTGAGGAAAACCAAGGAGAAGAGTGAGGCTTGACCTGGAATTGTCGAGAGGGAATAAAAGATTCCATGCCAGCCTGAATCCACGAAGTTATGTAAGAAGCACATTTGTCAGCAGGAAGACGAAAGATTTCTACCCAAGGGCCATCACGAAGAAAATCACGGAAAGAGTCCCAGTCAGCTTTAAGGTAGTTGTATGTGGTACGATGATAGGGGGATTCTGATGAAGTAGAAGAATTTGATAATAGTTTTAGAGAGATCAAACCGTGATCAGAAGTACCTAAGGGTGAATGTGGAGAAATTGAGCACTGACTAGGATCCAAAACAAGACATAAGTCGAGTAGAGAAGGTTAATGATTAGGGTTGTCTGGAAAACGAGTTGGAAAGTTGACTATTTGAGTTAGAGATTGAGAAAGGCAAAAGTTGAGGGCCTTAACGCCAGCAGAGTCACTGACACTAGAGCCAAGCCAATCGGTGTGATGGGCATTAAAGTCACCAACAACGACGATATTGGCCGATGGATAAAGAGAGAGGGCTTGGTCAATTTGATCAGAAATAACATCAAGAATAGTGCAATCTTGGGATGAAGGAGAGCGATATAGAACAAAGAGAAAGGCGATAGAGTGAAGTTGTGCTAAACAAAAGCACATAAATGAATAGTCTGTAGATTCAAACCTAGCATATATTTATTAATGACGACGCAAATAAAATTAATGAAAATTTTTTTAAAACAATCTATTCTGTCTATGATGCCAATTTTTTTATCTGTAAAAAAACAATAAATCAAAACTCTTTCAAAAATTCACAGTTCACTTTAGGTTTTTTTTAGATTTATCAAAAACATTTGATACAGTAAATTATGGCATTTTGGTTCATAAACTTAAATATTATAAGAGGATGGTATAATTTTGAAGTGTGTAATTTAACAAACCGAAGTGTTTATTTAACACACCAAAAACAGTTCGTTTCTTTTAACGATCCTTATCAAAAAAATGTTTCAGATATTTCATGTGGTGTTACGCAAGGATCAATTTTAGGGCCACTTCTTTTTTTAATATACATTAATGATTTGCATAAAGCTAAACTTTTAAGTATTATGTTTGCAGACTACTATGAATGAAGAACTCAAAATAATTTCTAGCTAATTCAATCCAATAAACTTACCCTAAATATTAAAAAAACAAAATGAATTCTTTTTCATTCGATAACTAAAAAACATTATTTACCCCAAACTCTGCCTGATATTTTTATTGACTAAATTGAAATAAAAAAGAGATTGCACCACAAAATTTTTTTGCGTATTCCTTGATGAGAACATCACATGGAAGCAACATATTGATTATGTTGGTACTAAAGTTTCAAAAATATTGGAATTCTTTATAAGGCCAGAACCTTTATAAATAAAAAAGTTTTATCCCAACTTTATTATGAATTTATTCATAGCTATATGAATTATGCAAATATTGCATATAAGTTACAATCTCTCTATCGCCGTCAGAATCATGCAATACCTGTAATTAATTTTGCTAATCGTTTTTCTCACTCTAAACAACTTTTTTTTGAAATGAGAATACTTAATATTTTAAATATTTTATACTTTGTATATATATAAAAACAACCTTTCTCCTGCCGTTTTATATGATTTAATTACTTTGAAGCCTAGCAATAAATACTCTCTAAGAATTAACAACCTTTTATATGAGCCTTTTTGTCGAACAAATTTTAACCAATTTTGCATTGATTATCGTGCACCCCATCTTCGGAACAAAATTTAAATAACACAAAAAAAAAATCTTAATAAGACAAGAATAAACATTAATTGCAAATAACTTTAAAACTCTATATCAAAAAGGTTTTAAAATTAAAGGTTTTAAAGTGATTCACTGAAAAAAACAAAAATTAAAAAAAAAAACAGCAAAAAATAAATAAAAAATTAAACTGATTCTAAATGCATAAATTTACTTTTGAAGTTTTTGAGAGTTTAAATGTTTTAGTCACAATGTAAACCTGCTTTTAATGGAGTCAGGAATCACAGTAACTATTTTAATAATAGAGAAAAAGTGTGTCTTTTGGGTATTAAATAAGAATGTTTTGGAAAAATTGCTGTAATTGAAATCTGGGAACAATAAAAACCCTAAAACTTATTTTAAAGAATTTCCCTGGCATCTCCCTCCCCATTAAACCCAAATTTAAAGGGGAATAGTTTTCTGAGTTTTTTTATTATTACTATTTTAAGCTAAATTTATATTTTACATTTGATCAAGTAATTTTAAGTGTTCAAAAGTTATGACTGTGTAAAGTTTACATCCCCCTCGAAAGAAGATTTTACTCAATCATCAAAAAAACTGCTGCGATTTCTGGATGTAATAGATATAGACTAATTTGTCTATATACACTATATTATCTATATATAGAGGTGATTCTACAAATTGAGAGGGAGGAGGGGAGGGTGAATCCTTAAAAAGCGGTGTAAAACTAACCTGGTAAAAAACAAAACAAAACACAAAAAAAAAAAGGTCCTTAAAACTAAATTTCACCCGACTGAAAGTTGTAAAATACCCAACTATATTCCTCACTATAAACCGACTATATCTTGAAAATCACCTTCTTTGGAGGAGGAGGGGTGTCTCACCCTCCACTACCCTCTCCCACCCATAAAATCGCCTCTTTTTATATAGACTAGTATTTAGTAATAGACTATGAATCCGAGCGTGCCTAATTTGAACACAATTTTTTTTTTAACAAAGACTATTATAACTATCCGTAACGCCCTCGATCAAAAATTAGAGAGTTTAAGCATACACGCGTTAATCATGAAAAACTTGTAACATGCGAGTTTCAAGTCATAAATTTACATGACTTATTTTTAAGTTGAAAGTATTTCCAAAAACAATTTCAAAAACAATATCAAGAACAATTCCAAAAAACATCTGCTTTATAAACAATCAAAGCAATCTCACTAGAAAATCTGCATCAAAGTTTATTTTAAATTTAAAGTTAAAAATGGGAGTTAAAGAGACATTAACCTCAAAAATATAAATTAAAGTATGATTTTTAAACTCATTAATTATTCATGTCAAGTACGTTTTTTAGTGGTAAGAAAAATACGTTAAAAAGGAAGTTTCCCTAAGACTTATTAATTATTTACGAGAAATTCTTTTGTATTCCTACCGCTGCTTCGACGTAACGCTTGCTTGCTCAAATTCTATAAAAATTGACGCCGCTCGCAAATGTCAACATTGCAAAATGAAAAGTAAACAAAAAAAACCATGTGACATTTTGACATTAAGATTCTTGACTCTAAAAACGTCTTAGTATCTTATTCAAGCAGTGATTAATAATGTTCTTTAATGTCAAGTAATGTATTAAAAATAACTACCTTCAAAGTCTAAACGGAATGGAGTAATTGTTACCAAAAGTGAAATAAATATATTCAATATTTAATGTTCGGAATTTATTCGGTACTATTTATAATTTTTTTGTTTAAATCTTCTTTATGCGTTGGTATTTATCTTCATGTTTGATAAAATTAATTGAGTAGTTTTGCGTTACTCATTTTTTCAAAATAAAAATAATGATATATATCGCAATTGGGTTTGATTATCAAGCGATAATCAAACCCACTCCGATACGTACGATATAAAAGATTTTATTAAAAAATAAAAAAAAAAAATAAATATGGTCAAAACAAGTTTAGTCTTGTCATCAAGCCCACTTACTATCATTATTTTTTTTTAATTACTGATTATGAATACGTTCATATGTTTTTATATTCTTTAAATGTAATCTAAATGTAATTTAAATGAGGATAAATTTATTCTAGTATATAGTTATATTATATGAATATAGCTATATTATATGAGTGATATCATATCATTCATATAATATATGCATTTCTTTTAATTTTTATTTTAAGTTGCTATTATTTTAATAAAATGCTAAATTTAACAAAGCCAAAGAAGCACAAACATTTATTCATATCTACAATGTAATATGATATGAATGTGAATAAGTGCTTGTTATTTTTACAGTTCCGAGATTTGATTAAGGCAGATTTAAAATAACTCAAGAATAAGAGTTTATATAATGAATTATCAAATTTGGATTATCAAGTTCTGAAGTATGAAATTTGAGTTAACAAGTTCTGAAGTATGAAATTTGAGTCATTAAGTTCTGAAGTATGAAGTTTAAGTTATTTTAACCAACTTTCAATTTATAAAAGAGTAACAAAAGATTTTTTTGAAAAACAGATCACTTGGACTATGACCATAAAAACAAAACAGAATTATTTATGAAACAACTAATATATAAATAAATAAACAAATAAACATAGTCTAGAAAATTACTAAAGATAGAATATTAGAGAAACATAATCAAGATAAATACTGCTGATGAAATAGAAAAAAAAAAAAAATTAAAATTACTAAAGATGCAGTTTCTAATTCTGTTAATTTTGTTTATTGGGTCTTAGCAAAAACTTTTCTTAATACAAACAAAAGTATTAAATTAAATTTGAATTAAATTAGGGTAAAATTATTATACTTCAATCAATGGCCTATGAGTCACCATTTCTGATTTTCCTGATTTTTACATATTGTTATGTTCATTATGTAGAGGTTTAACAGTTCAGAAATTATAGCCTTAGAAACATGACACAGTGGCCCCCCTTGATTTACAAATGGTCAAAACAGATTACTTTAGAGCTATATAACTTTTTTCTCATTTTCAACAAGTGTCTCATTTATTCTAGAACTATTTTTTGGATAGTTTTCGGTTTAAAAAAGTGGTTTTTAATAACTTGTAATAAATTAGAGAAAAATTATGACCACCTCAACTTTGGGAAAAATCCTAAAATTGATAAAATATGCCAAATTAAATCTAACTGTAGCATTTTTCTATTCTTCCACAAGTCTTTACAGATAAGTTTTCTGATTAGCTACTACTGTCTGCAATAAATGGGCAAAATATAGGCAGCTTGTTGCAGTTTAGAAATAAAATATATCTAAAAGAAAAATGCCCATTTCCTAAAATTGCCAAATTTTTCCAACACTTTGTTTTGATCTAAAATTAACAGCATATTAGATCATTAGACCCAACTCTCTGAAAATGCAAACATTATAAACTTGTTAAATTCACACCAAAAATGTCAGCTTTTTTAAATAACCTTATTTTTCAATTACTAATGGTTGAATGTGTTACTAGAAACCAGTGCCCCTCTAGTCTGCCTATTGGCTTATGTAAAGGGTGCAACTAATTATAAGTCATTTTTAATAAAAAGAAAGATGGTTAATTGCCCTATCCTTGATCCATTCTTTATAGTAGTTAGGGGCATAAATAAAGGGGCAGTAACTTTTTAGAGACACTCATAAAGGGGTAGGGTAAGTAAGGGGGGGGGGGTTTGTGTGGCATAATTTTTCTCTAATTTATTACAAGTTATTAAAAACCACTTTTTTAAAGAGAAAACTATCCAGAAAATAGTTCTAGAATAAATGAGACATTTGTTGAAAATGAGAAAAATGTTATACAGCTTTAAAATAATCTGTTTTGACCATTTGTAAATCATGTGTCATGTTTACTAAGGCTATAATTTCTGAACCATTGTACTTAAAAGTCTAAAATTTCAATCTAAACCTATCTACATAATAAACATAAAAATATGTAAAAATCAGGAAATTCAGAGATGGTGACCCACAAATTTTCTTCAAGTTGGTTGAAATATATTGATTTGATCCATTAATAATAGAAAATAACAAATATAAATTTGTTAAAAGAAGTTTTAATATAAATCATAAATTTTGATTTGAAAATTAAAATAAATTCTTTTTTAGGAATACTTTCACTATTTAATTTATTACTTTTGTAATTATTATAAATTTTGTAGTTTATAATTTAAGTGAATTTAAACTTACTTTTTACTAAGTTGATTAAATTTTATGAAGTCATAGTATATATAGATACTTTCAAATCAGGTGAAGTCATAGTATATATAGATATTTTCAAATAAGGTGAAGTCATAATATATATAGATACTTTCAAATCAGGTGGAGTCATAGTACATATAGATACTTTCAAATCAGGTGAAGTCATAGTATATATAGATACTTTCAAATCAGGTGGAGTCATAATATATATAGATACTTTCAAATCAGGTGAAGTCATAGTATATATAGATATTTTCAAATCAGGTGGAGTCATAATATATATAGATACTTTCAAATCAGGTGGAGTCATAGTACATATAGATACTTTCAAATCAGGTGAAGTCATAATATATATAGATACTTTCAAATCAGGTGGAGTCATAGTATATATAGATACTTTCAACTCAGGTAAAGTCATAGTATAAATAGATACTTTCAACTCAGGTGAAGTCATAGTATATATAGATACTTTCAAATCAGGTGGAGTCATAGTATATATAGATACTTTCAAATCAGTTGAAGTCATAGTATCTATAGATACTTTCAAATCAGGTGAAGTCATAGTATATATAGATACTTTCAAATATATATATATATACTTTCACATATATATTAGATACTTTCACATATATATATATACATACATATATATATATATATATATATATATATATATATATATATATATTTCTTTATACATATATATATATATATATATATATATATATATATATATATATATATATATATATATATATATATATATATATATATATATATATATATATATATATATATATATATATTTATATATATATATATTTCTTATATATATATATATATATATATATATATATATATATATATATATATATATATATATATATATAATATATATGATATATATATATATATATATATATATATATATATATATATATATATATATATATATATATATATAAATATATATTTCTTTTTTTTTATTCATAATAGTGTATCTATTTATATTTAAAATTGATTGAAAAAAGAAAGATTCTGTTTTTAGTATAATTATTTTTCCTTAATTCTCCTTACTTTTTCCTTCAAAAAATTTTCTTTCGCGACTGAATGTCCTTAAATAATAGAAAAATATCTCCTTAAATCTCCTTAATATCCTTAATTTTAGCCCCAGCTTTACAATTTTTAATAATAATATGAAGTATATTATTTAAGTTTCGAATTTTTGAGTTTTGTATTGTTTTTTAGTACAAATGGATGAAGTCCTACGAAATCCACAATTTCAAATTAAGTTGTCTGAACTACTTGATCAAGATTGGTTTAAGATTGGTATTTCCTTAAATGTAACACAGCGTAGTTTAGAAACAATTAGGAGTGATTTTATACATTTTCCAAAACAAGAAGACAAAGCATATGAAATGATAAAAAAATGGTTCAATTTTGATAAAAATCCGACATTTGAAAAGTTAAAGTTTGCCATTTTAAATATTCCAAAAAACGATCTATTGAAGGAGGTTGAGGATCTTGCAAGTATTATAATTATTTTTTATTTTATTTAATTATTTAATTGTATTATAATTTTTTCACTTACTCTCATTTTTTATTTGTTTTGTTATTATTTTAACTTCCTTATCAAATTCTCTGCTTTCAGAAAAACTTGATTACGATGATGATGATGATGATGATGATGATGATGATGATGATGATGATGATGATGATGATAATGATGATGATGATAATGGTTACAGATATACTATTCGTTAGAGTTGTATCATATGTTTCAGAATATAAAAGAATATAAAATTTTAAATAAATCTGCTTACAAAAACAAAAATTAATTATTATAGTTGTAGATGGCAATGATAATGATTATGATGTTAATTTTTTAATAAATTATTTTATGTTAATATTATTTTTATACTTTGAATTTTTGAATAATGTTGTACCAATTTAAAATATGTTTCTGTTTATTTAACCAGGTGGGTTTTTCATAAAGCCTTTATATTTATCAGAAAGTGCTTCAAATGCAGGTATTTTTATAATTTAATAGTGGTAAATAAAGAAAACAAATGATGAAAATAATAATGATAAAAATTATCATAAATATATTGAAAAACATGATTGAAATGATGATGGTTACAATGATCATGATGATCAGGTTGATTATCATGTTTGTTTAAACATTTAATTTAAAACTATATAACAAATTATTTGGATGTAATTACGTTTAAATATAAGTTAAAAAATTGAACTTATTAAATTTATCTATATTTTAAGTTATCTTATTTGATTTTATCAAGTTTTTTGTCAAAAATTCCAGTTTTAATCTCTAAGTATTTTTGTCAAGTATATATGGTATGTTTAGTCTTTCAAAAACTTAAATAACAAATACATATTTTTTATGCATCGTTTCTGTTACAGATGTTCTGCGAAATGCTCCTGCTCGTGCTCGTAAAAGAAAAGCATGTAATACAGGTAAGCAATGCAAAATGTGACTTATAAGTAAAACATATGTTTCCATTTTAAACAGTTAAATAAATTCATACTGAAGTATGAATTTATTTAACAGTTATAGGAATACTCTATTTTCTATTCATTTTTATTTAAATAAAAATGAATAGAAAATGGAGTATTTGCATTACATACTAATTAACATACAATTTTTTTTTACTTTACTTTTCTATTGAAAAGTTATCAATCAATAAAATTTTCAAGTGTTTTCAATAAATTGACATTACTGGACAATATAGGAAAAAATATTAAAAACATATTGTGGCATTATTAATCTGTAATAGCTATCTATTTATTTTATTTGGAAAATCCTACTCCACTGGAGCAATTAGTAATCAAAAAGGAAAAAATTATCAAAGTTGTGTTTAGGCTTGGAAATGCTAAAGCGATTTGATTTTGAATCAACTTATGTAGGAATAAATGTGTCTAAGTAGTTTCTTAAAAATCAGTTTTTATAAGAATATAGCTTTGCAGAATTTCATAAAATTCTGAATCATCTTCTAAGTTTTGCTTAACAATTTCTTAAACACTTTTTTTAAAATTCTCATTGGAAATATTAGTATCAATAAAAAAAAATCCGAAAAGTATGTAATCTTCCTTATACAGTTTTTTGTTTTAAGTTTGAATAGATAGTGTCAAAAGTTTTAAACAAAGTGTTTTTAAAATTCTTAATTGGACAATATCATTTGTAGTTGATTTAGGATTGCTAAAAATCTTTCTACAACTTGATGTTTTTGTTTGCAAAAACAAACAAACAAGGTTTCTGAAAAAATGATCATAAAAACCATATCATCAGAATCTTTTACAAATTTACAACTTTTATAAATAAAGACATAAATAAGAATAAATTTCAAAAAATCGTGTTACAAATATAAATTATATCAACAAATATATATGTATATATATATATATATATATATATATATATATATATATATATATATATATATATATGTATAGATTAGATTTTTTTTTGTCAGAACCTACAAAAGTGTAAATATATATACCATATACAGCTATGAGCAGAAGTTTAATCGAGATTTTTTCATAATTATGTGTCTGTCTTTCTAAAGTTAAAGTTTAATGGATATAGATTTTGAGTTTATTTTTTTGTGTTTTGCTATTTATGTGTGTATCAATAAAATAGACAAAAAAAAAAAAAAAAATTTACATATACTACAATACTACCATAAAATTGATTAAACGTTGTACGATGTATTTTATTGATGACATAAAAATTTATAATACATTTACATTTACATTACAAAAACATTTTTCACACTCAATAACTAATTATTATACTTAATTATCGGTATAAATTATAAATATAAAGAGTACTCATGACCCTTAAATAAAAAAACGTTTCAAAATTACAAAAAAATATTTTAATTGTCTAAATTGTTTAAAAATCTAAAGAATAACTGCAACATTTTAAATTCAATTCGTTTGCAAATGGTTAGAAAACCAGTGTCGGAGAGTGTCCGTTACAAAAGTGGCATATTCAGAACCCGAAAGAAAAATCCTTGGCTCAGCTACAAAAAGCTAGCTCAAGTGTTTTACCAATTCTTTTCTAATAAAAATCTAAGCAAAGAACTAGTTAAAAGAACATTAGCAAAAAAAGGTGTTGGGTCTTACATTGCAATAAGAAACCTTTTTCTGTCAATCATGAACTGATGCAAAAGATGAAAATGGTGTAAAGAACGTTTGTGGTTGTGAACCACAAAGGAAGTATGTACGTTAAAAGATTTGGAACTGAGCGATATTGTGAACGCTATTTACAAGCAAGACGACAAGGTGGTGGAGGCTCAGTAGGTGTATGGGATGTTTTTCCACAAAGGCCTTGGTTTTTGTGACACCTAAATATTAAATTTGTATTTTTTTTTTAATTTTTTGTGTTTTAAACCTTAACTAGATTAATCTTTTATGCAACTCATTTTATTATTATTATTTTTTTATAATAATAATAAAATGAGTTGTATAAAACTAGATTTTGCTTTTAACTAGATTAATCTTTTATGCAACTCATTTTACATATTAATTTTTTTTTTCTGAATTTTTTTTTTTACTGATTTTATTAATGTTAATTGGATAGCTTATGGGTTGTTCTTTTAAAAATAAAAATATTAATTAAGTATAATTTCCTGACTTTTTTTTTAGTTAAAAAAACCGTGAAAAGTTCAATTAAAACTACCATCTTGATTAAACTTTTGTGCATAGCTGTGTAAACATACAAATTGTGCATAGGTTTGTAAATATACTATTTCAATTTGCTAGAGAATCATAAACTTAATTCAAAACGCACTTGGCAAATTATAAGTGAATTCACGGGCAAATGAAACTTAAAATCATATTCTTTAAAGCTTAAATATTCTATTAAAATTAATGATAAAATTATAGATGATCCTAAAGAAGTAGCAAATGAACTAAACAAATGCTATGTTTCTGTTGGACCTTATCTTTTAAAAAACATTCCAAACATGATAAATCCAATCAATAATTATGAATTTCCTCTAACCTCTGGTCTAAGTGCCTTTTAACTATCATTTTCAGAATTTGAAAATGCTTTTAAAATGCTTAAGCTCAATAAAGCAATTGGCCTAGACGACTTAAATGGAAACATTGCTGTTAAGTCATACAATAATATAAAGAATACTCTATTTAAAGTTCTTAATTGTTCAATAAATCAAGGAATTTTTCCAGCCCAAATGAAGGTTGCAAAAGTGACCCCTATATGTAAAGGCAGTGAACTAACAAGTGTTGAAAATTATCGTCCAATTTCAGTTTTGTCAGTTTTTTCAAAATTCTTGAAAGAATTTTATTTAATCGAATTTTTAATCATCTCTGTAAATAATATATTTTACAACAGTCAGTTTCAAAAAAAAAAAAGAACTCTACATAACACGCTTCAACTTCAAATCACAAGAATTAAATTAACTAATTCTGTTGCATGAGATATTGAAACTTTTTTTTATGCATTTTTAAACGCTGAATCCAAATATACGGTCCGTTTTTGTTGGTAAGCTCTAGTTTTTTGCAGTTCTCAACTTGTCATTTTTTTAAAAATTATGTTTTTTCATAGTTATTATTAAATATTTATTAATTAAGTTATTAAAAAAGTAACCATCTCATTGTTTTTATTAGATCAAATATATATAATGATGGCTTCTTCAAATTGACATAAGTGCAAGCATAATCCTAACTCATTTTGTTATATATGTGGTTGCTATGCACTTGTTTGACAAAGACAAAACATTACTAATTTTGTGAAATTAACATATGAATCGTATTTCAATATTAAACTTGGTGACCAAGATAAAAAGTGGGCTCCACATATTTTATGCCATATTTGTGAAGAAAGTCTTTGAAATTGGATAAAAGAAAAAAAAAATGAAATTACCTTTTGGAGTCCCAACGGTTTGGAGGGAACCACTAAATCATATTGATGACTGCTACTTTGTCTTGTTGATACTAGTGGTGTTGGCGAAACTAAGAGACAAAAAATAACTTATCCCAAAATTCCTTCTGCTATTAGACCAATTCAACATTCTAACCAGATTCCGTTTCCAATTTTCAAAGATTTATTTTTGTCAGAAGATGAGCAAAGCGTGTCTGCTACAGAAACAGAAGAATTTTTACCGGATTTGGAAGACTTCTCATCTAATGCTAAACAATTCAGTTTGCCTCAGTGTTTTAGTCAGATAGAACTGAATGACTTAGTTCGTGATTTAGGACTTTCTAAACAAGCAGCAGAAGTATTAGCGTCACAATTAAAAGAAAAAAACCTGCTTGATAGCTTTGCAAAAGTATCTTATTTTAGAACAAGAGATGAAGCTTTTGTTGATTTTTATTCAGAAGTCAGTTTATTTGTTTACTGTCATGATATTTCAGGTCTCCTATTACAGTTGGGTATTTCTGTATATAATCCAGCAGAATGGAGACTTTTTATCGATAGCTCAAAGCAAAGCCTCAAATACATTATATTGCACAATGGAAATATTTTTGATTCTGTACCAATTGATCATTCTGTTTATTTGCGAGAAACTTACGATGACATTAAAATGGTGCTTAACTTGATTAAATATCATGAACACAACTGGATTATTTTTGTAGATCTAAAAATGATTAACTTTCTACTTGGTCAGCAGAAACGTTTTACAAAATTTCCATGTTATCTCTGTATGTGGGACAGTCGAGCGAGAAATTAACACTGGATAAAAAAAGAATGGCCCATTTGCAAGACTCTCACAGTGGGCATGCAAAATATTGTGAATGAACCGATTGTTAGTCGAAACAAAATAGTTTTTCCACCACTCCATCTTAAACTTGGATTCATGAAACAATTTGTTAAAGCACTAAAAACTGATAGTGATTGTTTTTAGTATATAGTTAAATCATTACCAGGATTGTCAGAGAAAAAAAAGCAGGAGTTTTTAGCGGGCCACAATTTCACTATCTTATAAAAGATAAAGAATTCATTAAAACAATGAATATCAAAGAAAAAACAGCTTGGTTATCGTTTGTGATTGTTATAAAAAATTTTCTTGGAAATAAAAAAGCAGAAAACTATGCAGATTTAGTTGATAAAATGTTGAAAGCCTTTGTGATCTTGGATGCAAAATGAGTATAAAGATTCATTATATAAATAGTCATCTTGACCAGTTTCTTGAAAATGAGTGTAAGTGAAGAGCAAGGAGAGCGATTCCATCAAGATCTTAAGACAATCCAAGATTGTTACCAAGGACGTTAGGACATACACATGATGGCAGACTACTGCTGGGGCATCAAGAGAGAAGACACAGGAAAAGTTTATAAACGAAAGAGCAACAAGCAAAAGTTTCTTCCTGATTAAGTAGTTGTAAATACGCAATATAATCTGCAATTTTTTTTAAAACAAAGTAAAAAAGATTTTGATCTTTCACTAAAGTAAAAGATTTTTTTATTAATCAATAAAAAGTTAATAACTTTGCTAGGACTTGGATATTTGAAAAATATTTATTTTAATCAATTTACATTTAGTTTCATTTGCTTTCTGTTTTTGTTTTAGTTTTATAAACAACTTTTATTCTAAAAAGTATATCCTAGCATTTGCAAATGAGTTTCAGTATTTTAGAACTATTTCTACTGTTTTGCAAAATTAAAAAAATATAAATTGCAAAAAATCTGTAGCTTTCCATAAAAAATGAATGCCAGATTTGAATTCAGCGTATCAAAATTATGTAAGAACACGTGTCAAATTTAATGCAATAAATATTTTGTAGACCTGTGTTATTACTGACTCTTTTGAAAAATCACAAATTACTTTAGATATTTTTATAGACCTATCTAAAGCCTTTGATAATATTGATCACCGTATTCTCATAAATAAATTAGATTATTTATTTATAAGAATGAGAATGCAGTATGATTACGATATCACTGGGCTTAATGTTATTAAAAAGTTACTTAAATAGTTGTAAACAATTCATACATATTGATACACACTCAACAACTACTGCTTTAGATATATCCTGTGGAGTCCCCCAGTGTTCCATACTTAAACCACTGTTATTTCTAATTTATATCAATAACCTCTATAAAACTTCTAATTTAATGACAATAATGTATGCTGATGATACTAATCTTTTCTTATCCCGAAATAACATCAATAACTTATTTCATGACATGAATGTAAAACTAAAGAAAATATCTAACTGGTTTAAATCAAATAAGCTTTCACTTAATATTGAAAAAAAGTCTTTTTCATTCGGCTTATAAAATGCATATACTACCAAGTGAAATGCCGCCGCTTTTCTTTGATAAAATTAATATAAAAAGAGTAACTTATACTAATTTTTTAGGTATTATTGTGGATGGGTTATACATACACACCTAGGTATTGGTCTTGGGGTGAGTGAATGACGAGCAGTGAAAAGTTTATTTAAAACAGGCTAGGATTGTTTGATGTCAGGCTTTTAGACAGTAAAAGTTATGTGATTTTTGTAGGGACGATATTGTATTCTTTATTGTAAAAGCCAGACATCTAGCAACTCTAGTCTTAGCAAGCCTTTTTTGCCTAATCTGATTTTCCCGTAAGCTCTTAGCATTTTTACAAACACTTTCAATGTTTCAAATTAAGTTTTGATAAACAAGGTCATGGATAAAATTGAACGATTTTGATAAATTTTTAGGTTTTTTTATAGTTTCACAACACTATTTTCTTTTTGCCCAGTTTGTTGGGTGCAGTTTCATTTGTTTATGTTTTGCTCTGGTGGTGTTTTGCTTTATTTTAGCTCCACATGATTTCAACTGTCTGAGTTTTTATAGTTTCATACTTGGTTCGTTACAAGGCATGAAACATATACCAAATTTTGTATAGTTTTTCAGGAGGACAAAAATAATATGAAAAACATTCGTAATTAAACCTTGCGGGAATGAGTTTATTATTTTCTATAGATACATTTTTAGTGCTATTTTTTTTAATATTTTCATATTTTTATTTCAAGTTTTAGATAGATATAAGTAAGAATTTTATATTATTTAGAGATTTCAAGTTCACCAAACAAAGATTACACTGTTACTTCCAATAAAGGTAATTGTTTTAATTATTTTAATTATTTTTCAAAAGTAAGAATTTTTTTTTTATGTTAAATGATTTATTAAGCTAAGTCCTTTTATTAAGTTTTAACTTTTTCATTTGATTTTCAATTTTTTTCATTAAACATGGGTTTTTATGTTTACTTACTTTAGTTGCTTATTTTATTATTGTTGCTAATCATCAAGTTTGTTCATTGTGTTACTGGCTTATGTTAATTCATATCTCATTGGTTATTTCAAAATATTATTTTTTATACAATGCTCACCTAATAATTTACTGATGAATAACAAAAATTTGTTTTATTATTATATTAAATTTTTCATTATCTGGATTTTTTTAAATAAATTTCTTATATAATTTTATTAAGTTAATACAAATAATACAAAAATTTTAATCAATTGTTTTATTCTTATTTTAAACTATAAATGAGACCCTAAGTCAATGATTGTATCATTAACTTGTTTGACAAACAACGCAAGAAGAGAGCTTGTTGTCAAGGTGCAGTGTTCTTGTTGCTCAAGTTTAAATTCATGTTATTGTTTTAAGAGCTCAACAAGAAAAAATTTGTTTCAAATAATGTGTGTATTTTTACTACAATTTTAAAATTATTTTTAAGTTAAAAAAAATATTGGGCAAAAATTTCATTTGTGGACAAACAAGGCTGGACAAACAAGGACAAACATGGCAAGGCTGGACAAACAAGGACAAACATGTGACTGCACAGCTTTCCTGGAAAGGCCTGAATTATATTGTATTTTTCAGACTTCCAAGTGCAACAGCTTTAAATTTATAGCTTTGTAAGCACAACAAAGTATCCCCTAAATTTACAAATCATAAAAACAGACTAATAAAATCTGTTTTTATGACTATTAAAGTCATATAATTTTTTGTTATCTGCATTATTTAGGTTAAATTACCACATTTTAGAAATTATAACCTTATGAACATGACAATATATCTACCTCAATTTACTTAATAAAAAAAAAAAATACTTTAAAGTATTTTTTTTTTTTTATTAAGTAAATTGAGGTAGATATATTGTCATAACTGTTCGTAACTTTCCTGTTTGTGCATTATATTCAATTGTTGTTTTAAAATTGATATTGATTTATTATCATATAATTTTATTATTATTCTTTTAATGAAGTATTTATTTTTACTTTTATTGTTTTTATTATGATTATTGATATTAAGATTATTATATTTATTAAATCATTGTTACTGTTTTTTTTGCAGTAATTGTTTTAGTTACATGGTAGGTTGTTACATTTTGTCATTACATAACTGTTTGTTACTTTCCTATCTAAAATATATTGATTGATATCTGAATTAAAGTTCACCAGCCATATCACTTATACAAAACACGTATCACTTATACAAAAATTAAGTAAAATTGAAAAAAATAATTTAAACAACTCAGCTAAAAGCAAAATTAAGGGAAAAAAATGTATATTTCTGATTTTTTCCATATATTTTGCTCAAACAATATTCCGGATTTTTACAGTATGACCGGGATGATCTATGATAATAACAAATAAAATGTTTGTCAAATATAAAAACATTAAATTTACATAAAAAGTTTGTAAAAAGTAATTTCTTAGTTTTAATAACTTTGTTAAAAAAATTAAATGTTTATATAAAATTATAGTAATAATGGTCATCATTGTCATGATCATGAACATTAGCAAAATCATGATGATGACTTTACAGAAATTGTTTTGTTTGATTTAGATTTGTTGAGGATGTCGGCTGATCTTAAAAAATTTTATCTTGAATATTATGGGAAAATAGGTGAACTTCAACCGCTAATAAAAGCATCTGCAGACGTTGATCTTATACAAAAATTTGTTGACCTCTGTATCGTTGATGCAGTAAATGCTCAACTGGAACGCTCAGTGGATGCTGTTTTTAGTGTTGAACGAAAGAAATTTCTTGAAAAGCAGGTGCTTTATACACCAATTCCATATAGTGAAATATTTTTGAAAGAAAAAACAGTAATATTAATATCTGGAATAGCTGGTATTGGAAAAACATGGTTGCTTAGAAAATGTTTGCTTGATTGGTCGAATAGTTTAATTTGGAAAAATCTTGAACTTGTTTTTTATTTTGAATGCAGGATACTCAATTCATATGCAAATATTTCTAATATTAATGAATTATTAAATATTTTCTACAAGGATATTGTAAACGATTTTAAATTTAGTAGTCACACTGTACTGTTTATAATTGATGGGTTGGATGAGTTTAAATATTTCAATGAGCTATTAAATCCAAGTTTGACTAGCACTCCGATTGTTAAAGTTTTACGAGAAATTCAAAAATACAAACATGTAATTGCTGGTAGAGTTTATGCAATTGATCAGTACCAAAGTATATCTACAAAACATAGTGATAAGTTGACCATTCAAATAATGGGATTTAATGAAAATGGAATAAATAGTTATGTAAAAAATCATGTTGTGAAAGGGAAAAAAAAATTTGTAAAAACAACTTTAAAGGAGTCTCCCATTGCAAAGGCCATGGCATCTGTTCCATTTTATTTATCATCAATGTGTAAAATTATAAGTGATTCAGAAAAAACAGATTCAAATTCTTTCTCAACAATGACAGATTTGTATGCTAATATTTTCTTATATTTTTTGCGAGAACACATCATTAAAATCAATAAATTGATTTATGAGATAATGGAAGATAGTTCCAATAAAAATTACATTTTAAATATTTGTAAAATTGCATATAAATTATTTGTTGAAAATAAAATTATATTTTCCGAAGGAGAAATTCAAGACTTTTATAGTGACTTTGACAGAAAGGAAGGTAATTTTTTTGGATTTATAGAAAGGATTAAAACTGATCTTGGTTGTTATTATCAGTTTGTGCATTTGACAATAATGGAGTTTTGTGCATCTGTTTATGCATATAATTGTTTAAGTAGTGATGAGATTATGGCCAATGAGAAGCTGAAGAGTTGTTTATCAATGATTTGTGGATTATCCAATAAAAACAAAAATAGTCTATTAAAGTTTCTTGTTAACCTAACTCCTTCAAAAAAATGCAATGAAAAATCATCACTCTTGTTTTTTATTTTGGGTAAGTTTTGAAGCTTTGTTGCTTTATTGTGACTCTATTTTAGATAATCATTCAGGTGTTTAATAAGATGTAAATATTATAGAGCTTTTTGCTTTTTTTTAATTTTACAATGTATTGAGCAGTATAAAATATTATTTTATATTTGATATGTTTCAGGATGTTAGGTAGGTTTTCTGAAAAAATCAAAAATATGTTTGTTATCTAAAAAAAAATTAAATTTATTGTGTGACCATTACTTGCTTTATAAATGCTGAAGGTATTTATGTGGTTTTAGTTGTTTTTAGAAAAGACTTTTTTTTTTGCTTTGTTATTTTGTTTTGTGTTTTGTTTTTCTTAATTTAGAGTTAAAAGATTAAAAGAATTCTTTAATTCTTTAGGAAACAAATTATTATTTAAAAATTAACAAACTGTTTGTACAAGTCTTATATATGAATATAAATACTTCAAAAGACTTTCTTAAACACGAACAAAAATATCTGTTTTGTGAACTAAATATTTTTTTTATTAAAATTTTTCAGTAAATAAAATAATATAAAAATGGTTGTTACAGTCTTTATTACAATGTTTTGATTTTCAGGTAGTACATAAAAATGTTTTAAAAAAATTGTTCACAAGATAAATTTATGTCTTGAGTCCACTTTTATAAAGCGTTTAACTTAAATTATTTTCTTTGCATGAAATCACTTTTAAAATCCCTTCAACAAATTTTTTTCCCTATGGAAAAAAAAGTTACAGTACACCTACACCAAAACCTTTTTGAGAGCAAAAGTTATTTTAAATTACGTTTGAAATAACAAGTGTTAACATTTGTAATATCATTTGGAATAAATGACTTGGAAACTTGAATTTTTCTAAAATAATGTCATTATCAGTTTCAAAAGATTGTTTACAAATTTTATTCAATTTCTTTTTTTTTTTTTTATATATATATATTGTTTTTATTTGTATAGTTGTGAAGTTTATATGCTAAATTTCACTCTTTAAACAATTTTTATGGTTTAAACTTTTTTTTTTTAAACAACTTTCACTTTAAACAATAAATGTGTCTTGAAGAAATATTACAAATCTTATTATCAAAATCAACACAAAATTGAAAATGAATTTTTTTCGTTTCTTATTTTGCTCCTGCTAAGTAATAATTTAAAATCAGTAAAAAAGCATTAAAACTTTAATTTAATATGGTTTTATTTGTTAGGTTTTTTTTATTGTTTTATTTGTAAATAACTTACCCAGTATTTTTTTTTTTTATCTTATTTGGCATTTTAAATAATTTTATGTGCAATACTAGGTTATAAGACTGAATATCTAATTTATGGTAAGAAGTGCAGTTGAACACATAACTTTTAAAAATTAGTCCCGGAAGGAAGTGTGTGCATATATATATATTTTTTAAATCACTACTTGCTTGCAATATTTGTAAAATTCCATCATAATGTTGTGCTAAATTACACAAAACGAACACCGTTTTTTATATAATTTGATTATAAACCCACAATGGCAACTAGCATGTTTTGCTTTTTTGTAAATTTTTATATACTTTGTAAAAAATAAGAAGAATATAATAAAACACATTCTCAGTTTTTTTTTTTTAAAAAAAAAGACAATGTTATAGTTTAAACAAAAATATCAGAGTAGGGTTTACCCTATTTTGATCTTTTTATAAGTAAAAGTAAAATGGGTACTTTTCCGAGATGTATAAATGGTAATATAATACATCAGCTAAGGGCCTAATAATATACACGCAGGTGTAAGCATAAGTCCTTACTGTGTTGAGCATCTAAAAGACTAAGTCTTGGTCTTGTGAAAAGTCTTGTTTTTGGTCTTGGTTTGACTTTGTGATGATTATGGTATTAGTCTTAAAGTCTTAGGTCTTGAGCAATAATTAATTGGTTTTGGTCTTAGCCTTAACTGTCTTGACTACATCTCTAGTACTTATAAAGAATTTTTTATTGTTTATCTTTAAAAAGCCATAACTGTGCAGAATAATGTAATAAAGTCTCCTAACTTTGCAGACATAACACTACATACTCTGCAAGAAAATTATAAAAATTGATAATGTTGCTCCTCAGGAGACTAAAATTGAAAATAAAAATTGAAGGTGTTTTTGATAATCATTTTACCCTCAAACTAAGATTTTAAACAACAATTTCGTCATCATTCATCGAAAATGATAAAAAAAAAAAAAAATAGATTAAGATTAGCAGTTTTTATTTGTTCAATTATTATTCTAATTTTTTTGCTTGTTATTTTTACAAAATAACTTTTCAATAGAAAGTTTTTTTTAGTTTGATTTTCAGCAGCTTTTTGAGAAAAAGGTAATTAAAAGAAGACAAATATCTTCTTTTATTTACCTTAGCCTTTAAATAAAAACTTCTGCAGCTATGATCTTATTTGTTTACTTAAATGTAATAAAAAGGAATCTTATTCTTTAATTGTGTCAGGTCAGGAGTATGGTCTTCATGATCATCCTGCTACTGGTAACATGTAACCCAGTGACCCAGTGACATGTTTTTGATGTTTTTTTATGTATGTTTGTGTTCTGTCTGAACCTCTGGCGCGGTGTTCGCTCACCCGTAAGTTGCTTTATGTTTTTTATGTATGTTTGTGTTCTGTCTGAACCTCTGGCGTTGTGTTGACTCACCCGTAAGTTGATTTATGTTTGTTTGTGTTCTGTTTATACTCATAATGCAGCGTGAGCTCAGTAACTAACTACTTACTCCAACTACAAAACGTACACTCACCTTAGACTCCTGTATTTTGTTAGATGCAGTGTTTTTCCTAATGCACTTCCAAAATGTCATGCCTGGTTTTCTCAAAGTACTGTTGCGGGAAGTAGCTCCTTTTAACTACTCCAGGTCAGGTCAGGATAATCGAGATCAATCTTGCTACTGGTATCACGTAACCCAGTACCACCTGCCACAAGCCCTGCTGCCTTGCAGAGTGTGCTCTTCTTATGCAAAGGCTAGGAGAAATAAACTCCGACTAAAAATTCCCCTGCTTTGCGGCTCTTGGTTAAGAAAAGGCTAGAGATGGTGTCTCGATAAAAACACTTATCTTGGGCAGATGTTAACTGCATCCAGCTAAACATCCCCTGCCTTGGGGCTCTTGGTTGAGTAAAGGCTAGAGATGGTGTCTCGATAAAAATACTCATCTTGGGCAGATGTTAACTGCACCCTGCTACTGTCTTGTAGAAGTCCTCCTAGGCAAAGACTTTAGGGATAAGCAGAAAAATTCTGCTAACTAGCCTCGAACCCCTTCTTCATCTATTAGGCTGGCGTAGATGTAACCTGTGTTACATTGTTTCCTGTCTAGGATGATGAATGCTGGATCTCCTTGACTCTACTCATAGAATTTTGCTTATGCCTCTATGATAATGGCTATGCAACTCTTCCTGTTATCTCCATATGAGGGTACAGCTCTAAAACTCAGTTAAATGGTTCTGAGGCCGGTTGGTAGTAAGGTTTCCCGAACTCTGTGGTAGCTCTCAGAGAGGCTGATTCCATCAACAGCTGCAAAATATCAGAGTATTAACAGTGCCATGTTGCGCATGGATAGTGTCCCTGTTAATGCTTTTGGTGTGCATTGTCAAGGCCACATAAGGAGCCCTATGTCACGGCTTAGGGTTAATTAACAGGACTGAGACAACTGCATAGCTCATTGATTAGGAGGCTGTGCTCTATCTATGAATGAGTCAAGTTCTCATTAAACCCAAATCATGACCAAAGTAAGCAAAAATTTAAAACCTAAAAAACCATCCCCACCACCTAAATATTTTAATATATCTTTTACAAATATTCGCGGTCAACGAAGCAACTTTACATTGGTTGAGTCTTACCTCTTGCAAAATTCACCAGACTTGCATGCACTCAGTGAAACAAATTTAAGTTCTGCAATTCCTTCTTCAGATGTCAGTGTTGATGGGTACTATCCTTTGATTCGTAAAGACTCCAATAGTCACATGCTAGGTTTAGGGGTATACATACGCATTAATTCCCCTATTTGTCGTGAAATCAGGTTCGAATCCTTTGATCATTCTTTTATGTGCTTTCGCCTAGCACCTCTTCACTCTATCACTTTTCTCTTTGTTCTTTATCGTTCTCCTTCTTCCCATGATTGCACTCTTTTAGATGTTATCTCTGATCAAATTGACCATGCCCTCTCTCTTTACCCCTCTGCCAATATTGTTGTTGTTGGTGATTTTAATGCCCATCACACTGAATGGCTTGGCTCTAACACCACTGATCCTGCTGGCACTAAAGCCTTTAACTTCTGCGTTTCTCAATCTCTTACTCAGATAGTTAACTTTGTGACTGGTTTTCCTGACAACCCTAATCATTTACCTTCACTCCTTGACTTATGTCTTGTCTCTGACCCTAGCTTATGTTCAGTTTCTCCCTTTTCTCCCTTAGGTGGTTCTGACCATGCAATGATCTCTATAAATCTTTCTTCTCGTACTTCTTTTTTGGGCTCACCTTATCATCGCACCACCTACTACTACCCTAAAGCTGACTGGGATTCCTTTCGTGATTTTTTTCGTGATGGTCCTTGGGCTGATGTTTTTTCTCTCTCAGCTGACAAATGTGCCTCCTATGTAACCTCCTGGATTCAGGCTGGAATGGAAGCTTTTATTCCTTCTCGTCGGTTTCAAGTCAAGCCTCATTCTACTCCATGGTTTTCTCCTTCTTGTGCGGCTGCTATATCCAAGCGTAACCATTTTTTTCATCTTTTTCAAAAGAACAACTCTTTTGTGAACAAACGGCTATTTATTATTGCAAGAAATCGATGTAAAAAGGTGCTTTCTGATGCTAAACTCCATTATTCTCAGTTCACTGCTAACTGCTGTAACTGAAAAATTTTATCGTGCATTAGATGGAGGCGGTGAGGCTAGGGCTGTTGCTCTCAACATATCTAAAGCTTTCGACAAAGTTTGGCATGCTGGTCTTCTCCATAAGCTTGCTTCATATGGTGTTTCTGGGAAAGTTTTTGAGATAATCAAATCATTTCTTTCTGACCGGTTTATTAAAGTCATCTTTGAAGGCCAACACTCTTCTTTATTTCCAGTAACTTCTGGGGTTCCCCAAGGTTCCATCCTGGGTCCTGTTTTGTTTCTTATCTACATAAATGATCTTCCTGACAACCTTTCATCTAAAGTAGCTCTTTTTGCTGATGACTCAACTTTATTCTCCTGTCTTCACAAAAAGTCTTCTCTTTTCGATCGCCTAGAACAAGCAGCTGATCTTGAATCTGATTTCACTTCAGTAATAGATTGGGGTTCACAGTGGCTTGTGAATTTCAACTCTAAAAAAACCCAATTGCTTACTGCAAACAACTACCGTAATATGGTCAATATTCCTATATTAATGAATGGCAATCCTCTTACTGAGTCGTCCTCTTTACGTCTTCTTGGATTATCGCTTACTACTGACCTTTCATGGAAACCATATATACAATCGATTGCTAAATTAGCTTCTGCTAAGGTTGCTTCTCTTTATCGTGCTCGCCATTTCCTTACTTCTGATTCCATTCTCTACCTCTACAAATCTCTTATTCGTCCCTGTATGGAATACTGTTGTCATATTTGGGCTGGTTCTTTTAACGATTCACTCTCTCTTCTTGACAAGGTCCAAAAACGCATAGTAAATGTTGTTGGACCTGGACTATCTGCTAAGCTTGAACCTCTTTCCCATCGTCGTAAAGTTGCATCTCTTTCTCTTTTCTACAGATACTATCATGGTCACTGCTCAAAGGAGTTATCATCTCTAGTTCCATCAACTAAAATTCATTCTCGTTTTACTCGTCATTCAGCTAAGTCTCATTCGTTTTCTGTATCTGTCCCTGCATGCTCTAAAACCTTTTATTCATCTAGTTTTTTTCCCCGCACTTCAATCCTTTGGAACTCTCTCCCATCTTCATGTTTTCCCGACTCATACAACCTTCAATTTTTTAAGTCTTCTGTCAACCGTTTCCTTGCTCTATAACTCTGTTCTTTTTTTTTCCTAGTAACTCCCAACTTAATAGTGGTTGCTTGCAGCCTTGTTGGGAGTGAATGCAAATAAAAAAAAAAAAAAAAAATTTCTGTCTCCTATCTTCCCATATGGGTGAAGGCATGTTTTGACAATTATTTTTTGTAGATCTGTCATAAGGCCAGCCAATTTTTGTAAACTGCCTAATATATTACAATATAATACACAACAAGACAATATTGCAGTTTTTTTTTACCAAACTCTGATGTTTCATTATCTTTAGCATTGGTTATCTCAGTGCTTTTTTATATTTTACACAACCTTACTTTCTTCATTTTTTTTTACAGCCTGCTTTAACTTCTTTTTAGTGTATGACATTAAATGATTTTTACATTTTTTGGTATTATAGTAATATAATTTAGGCTAAAGAAATTGGCATAAGTTTGCCATTTTACCAAGAAGAAATAATATTTAGTAGCTTTTTTAATGGTTTATAAAATTATTAGTATTTTCTATGAATTTTCTTGCAAATTTTTGCTTTTGTTAATCTTACAAAAAACTAATCTTTTTTTTTCATATGTCCATATATATATATATATATATATATATATATATATATATATATATATATATATATATATATATATATATATATATATATATATATATATATATATATATATATATATATATATATATATATATATATATATATATACATATATATATATATATATATATATAAATATATATATATATATATATATATATATATATATATATATATATATATATATATATATATATATATATATATATATTTAAACAATTCAAAATGTATTATACAAAAAGAGTGCTCAATGTTCTTAAAAGAACAGAGCAATTACAAATTAGTAGAAAATCTCTTGGCAAAATTTTTTCTCATTTAACACTGTGTTTCATCAATAAAGACTCATCAGAAATGAATGATCAAATTAATAAATTTTTTGTTTAATAAACATTCTTGGTGTGCATGTGTATTTATTTCAAATTTTTCGGTTAGACATAGTATGTATTGGATGCGCAATCATCAAGGTAGAAGAATAACCACAGATAACTTAGGGAAATTATTTTTTGATGCCTATATGAAAACTGCAACTCCTTCTATTGCAGCTGCCGGGTTTAAGAATGCAGGTATTTGGCCTTTAAATGCTAAAATTATTCCTGAGAGTGAACTTATAAAATGCAATAATGAACTATTTATGAGGTCGAATTCAAATTTAGGAAGTCATAGTAATGTTGCTCTTAATAATAGCTGTGTTTCTGGATGCAATATTACGGTAAAAAATACCATAGTTCCAAATATCTCATTTAATGATATTGTTTCCATACCTAAGTTAAAACCAACAAAAAGGAACAGCGAAGAGTCTGAAAACATCACTAGTTCTCCTTATAAGAAAAGAATCTCTTAATAAAGTTGTTCAAAAAAGTAACTTAAAACTAAGTAAAAAGAAGTTGCCTCTAGTCTCTTTAAAAAAAGAAAAGGTAGCAGATAAAAGGCCACCTATTAACGATGAGAATGCTTTACCAGAAAATAGTGAATGTTATGTGTGTGGCTTGTGGTGGAATGATGTCAGAAACAAAGATGATTGGTTTAGATGTAATATCTGTAGATTTTGGGCTCATCAAAGTTGTTGCCAATTAATTTCAGGATTTTATTTATGTGATTTGTGTGACTATAAATATATTTTTTAGACCTTATATTTTGTGCTAAATCTTATGTTTATTATTATTGACAAGTTAATAATAACTGCCAGTTTTTCCTACTTTGTTTTTAGATCTTTATTTGAAGTTTGTTTGTTTAAAAGCACTTTATAATAAAATACCAAAAATTTCTTATTTTTAATTATTGTTTTTGGGAATGTATGGGCGTAGGGGGGTGTAGTTTATATGGGTATGTTATTTTTGTCTAAGAAAATATGTCTATACAGGTTTAAATAATAAAAAACTTTTATTTTTGCTTTTTTAAAGCAGCACAGTCAACGAATAACTGTTGCATTTTAACTGTCCCGTTTTGCCCCACCCTTTTGCAAAATATGAAAAATTTGCAGCTCTAGAGTTTTGTTTTTTTGGTTGTCGTAGCTTATTTAAAAAATTTTTTTTTGTTTTTTCATTTTCTTATATCCATGAAGTTTATTTATCCATGAAATTTATAAAAAACAGTGTTAACTATGATTAGTTTATCCGCAGCAAGCATTTGTTTCTTAAGTGTCTCTATATGCCCCGCTCTACCCTATTTAGTTTTAACTCTCTCCTGAACATTTATCAAAAAATCATTTACGAGGTTTTGCAGTTTCACTGACGTATTATTTAAAAGTTTGTGAACTTTTCATACTTTATAGACGGAGTTTTTTTTTTTTTTGTTAAATTCATCTTTAACAATAAAAAAGTTTTTTTTGTTAAACTCATGAAAGTAACGGTTTAAAACTGAAATAAGTTAGAAACATCAAGAAAAATATACAAATATTTTTATATGACGTTTTTTTATATATACATCGTTAATATTTCACGTTTATGTCTCACTACGTTTTTATAATATAATTTTTTATGAATATATTTAACTTTTATGAATATATAACTTTTTAATCGGTTCGTTTTCTTTATTTATAGGTAAAGTAAATAATACTAATTTACAAACTGTTAATTCTGTTTAAAAAAAAAAAACATGATCTCATTTTTTGTGGCTTTTAAATTATGGTAAAACGTCAGAAAAAATAACAGTAGCTAATTTTTTTTTTTTTTTATTTTCTGATATATATACTTTTTTTTTTCGTTTTATTTATTTCACATCATTAAACTTAATAGAATTAATAGTTTATGTCTCCCAACGGCAACATATAATTTATTATTCGACCTGTTTTTAATGTGATCTAAACGTTAGCTTTTAATGTGATTTCAACGTTATAGTGAAGTCACAAATACTTTCATTTTATAAAAACGGTTGCGATAGTTACGATATAATTCTATAAAACGGTTTTAAATTTCTATTATTTTATTCGAATTTATAAAAGATTTTTTTAAAGTTCGATCATCGAGTTTTAAGTATATAAGACCTCACTCTTCGTTTTCTTTTCTTAAAAATGTTTTACGAAATCATTATATTACCATTGTTTATTAAAATTCACAACGGTAACAAAACTTCTTAAAATTCTCAAGTAAGTATTCTTCAGCTTTTTATTCAATAATTTATTTTTATAAAATATTGTTTATATAAAACATTTTTTGTGAAAAATGAATTATTTTTTTGTTTACGTTAAAATGATTGTTACATGGATTTAATTTTCATCATTTTTTTTTGAGCAACGAATATTTAATGTGATTTTTAGAATATTTAGTATTATTAGAATATTTAATACGAATATTTAATGTGATTTTTAATGGTAGATTTATTATTTAATCGATTATCGGCTAATCTTTGGTATTTTTGTTGCTTGTTTTTATGTATTATATATATTACATTTTGCAGCTATACTTTAATGATGAAATTATGTTGACTAAGATGTGCAAATGTCTCCTTAATATGATTATATTTTTTTGGAGACAGGTTAAATGTGAAAATGCAGATATTTTTAACGGATAAATTGCGGGAATCAAGTGCGAAATATTTTCTCTAACCTAACCATATCACTGCACTAATCCAATTCTTTAGTCGAAGTTTTCGTGTTCTCCCTAAATCAGTTGAAATCTGAGCGCTAAACTTTTTTTCTGCACTTCATTCTTGCTCTTGATCTGAAAGTTTCAGCATTTTACCAATACAATCGTCATAAAGGAATTCGTCAAAGTTTTTAATCAACGTTACAATCGAACTAACAAATATTTTTTTTTCAAATTTTCTTTAGTAATTCAATATGTAAAATATTTGGCGGACTTTATAACGGCGCACCCCAAACTCGGTAATCAACGAAACTTTTCGTTACGAAAATTAAAAGTCGATTTTCATTGGCTAATAAATTAAATTAGAATTAAGCACGTTTTCAACTTTTCAAGTTCACTTCAGTACACGAAAACTTCGAGCAAGACTACTTCTTTGGCAGAATTTATTAAAAGCATTAAAGAAAAAAGGCTAATAAATTTTCTCCATCAAAACAGACTAATCCATGTTCGCAAATCTTGTATCTGTGGTCAGCAAATGACTATTCAAAGATTTGAGCGGTGTCTAGTAAGTAAATATCGTATTTAATCATATCATGTTTCATGTTATATGTATTATATTCGTATTATATCATAAGGGCTTTATAAAAGAAAGTAATAACTTAAATGAAACTTTAGCTTGTTTTCATTTTAAATACTAATCTGATTAGACTTGGCTTATATTAATTATCAAATGAGTTATTATGTTATTATGAGTTCAAATGAGTTATTATGTTATTATGATTATTGATTATGACTATGAATTATGAGTTATTATGTTATCATGTTATCAAATGAGTTATTATATTATTATGAGTTATTAATCCTTATAAAGGATTAAATTACTTTCCTAAAATCTAATCCTGTTAAATTGGATTTTGTTTAAACTTTTTCTGATGCTTTTTTTCTTTAAGGATAAACGCATTTGGCGATGCAGCAGCTGTAAGAAGACAAAGACACGAAGTGGTTTTTTTCAATGTTCAACATCTTTAAGTGTAAGTGATATACTTAAACTTATGCTGTTATGGGTTTCAGAGGTCCCTGTTACTGCTGCTGAATTAGTAGGGATAAGCCAACCAACCAGTTCAATGGTATCAGAGACATCTGCTCATTCAAAGTTTTAGATGTTGCACCTGTAAACCAGCTGGGAAGTCCAGGACACATAGTTCAAATTAATGAATCTTTATTTTTCAAACGCAAGTATAATTTGGGTCACAACATTAAAAAGTATTGTATATAAAGTATATACAATCAGATAAATGGGCTTCGTACAATAATTTAAGAAACTTAAGCTATATTCATTCAACTGTTAACCATACCACAAACTTTGTTGACACTGAAACAGGGACAACAATAAACCACATTGAGTCCTTTTGGTATAGGATGAAGTTTAAATTAAAGTTTGTTTTTGGTTATCAAGGTGATATGAAATGGTTTAGGTTGGATGAGGCAGTATACAGGGAATATTATGAGTTTAAAAATAAAGATTTATGGCATAATTTCAATATGTTCCTGGGTTATATTCACGATAAGTATCCTCTTTAAATTACACATTTATTAATATTTTAATTCTATTTTATTTTATGGATTTTTGGAGCAAATTTTCTCAAATGATCATATACTGTGTTACACTGATTACGAGAAGATACAAATACTGATGATGAGAAGAATATACATGGAGGGAAAGTTTAAAACGACAAGATTAAGAAAAAAAAGACATTAGAAGATTGAAAGATAGTGAAGATTTGGAATAAAAAAAAGTTAGTGAAAGAAAAGTAAACTGAAGAATATCAGAACATTTATTTTAAAGAGCAATAGTATATTGTAATTGCTTATTTGAGATTTAAAACTGTTAGCACCTTTACTTAACTTTTTTTAATGATTTTTGTCAATTTTTAACTTATTACAAAACATTTCTCAAGTAAGCCTTTGTGAAATAGTAAAACTTTACTTAAAATAATAAAGTCTTGAAAAAAACTTAATTAAATTAATAAAACTTCTACTTATTTTAATTCTAATATCAGTAGTGCAAATGTTTTAATTTTATAATTGTAACTTATATTTGATTTGTAAATATTTAAATTAGAGTTTTAAATTTTAAAAATGGTTTTTAAAAGTTTGTTTTTTTTTCTTTCGAGGAAGCCATTTTGGCACTTGTCGTAACGGCGCGGTTTTACCATTCTGTAAAATATTCATTATATTTACCGAGAATTTTCGTAACGAAAAGTTTCGTTGATTACCGAGTTTAGGGTGCGCCGTTTTAAAGTCCGCCAAATATTTAATCGGTGTTTAAATTTTATGTTTTATTAAAACAACCGAACGAAGACATTTGTTATTTAAATTATTTTCTTTGAAAATGATATAAAATGTTTGAATTGTGTTTTAATAAAATTAAAAAATTCTTTATATTTTTATAACTTTTTTTAAAAAAAATTATTTTATTTATAAGGTTCACAGTTTTGATATTTTTATATATCATTTTAATTTAATATTAATTTATGTATATAATATTATGTATTTAATAAAATTATGTAAAATACAATATATTTAATAACAATAATAAATTGTATTTAATCATAAATTAATAAAATTTATATATATGATTATGTTGAATGTATGATTTTATAATTTCGATTATTATTTGAATTTATATTTGCTTATTTTTATAATAAATATTTAATTTTACTTTAGATCGTCTAAGTAAAAGTTACGATAACGATTTATTCATTGAATGTTTTTATGAAAGTCAATCATCATTTAATGATGAAATTAAATCAATTGTTGATGAACGAAATAAACGAGATAAACAAGAGTGGGAGATTTCGATTAAACACTTCTTACAAAAAACTTCTTACTTAACTTCTTGCGAAAATTATTTCATAAATCATTACGTAAAATCTGGAAGAAAGTTATCGTTGTTAGAAGTTAATAAAAATATTTTAAGTGATGAAGAGAAAAAACTTTTAATTCAATGTTCGACTAATGTTAGGGTTGTCTTCTTTTGGTGTCCAATTAATTTCGAAGGATGGAAACCGAAAGATAAGATTGAAGTGTTGAATATATTCATCTCAGGTTATTCAATAAAAAAAAAAGATTTTGAAGAAAATTTTCTTCCGTGGATTAATCTTTGCGAAATATTAAAACTTGAACTTCACGACGACATTGATTTTATTAATGAATTTTATGAATGGATTCGTTGTTCGAATGTCAAGAAGTTTGATATCAAGTGCAGTGGAAATTATTTTTATAACCTCGATGAATTAAAAAACTTTACAACACGATAAAATATTTAATACCTTAATTATATTAAATAAAAACAATAACTATAAATAACTAATGAAATATTTAATGTATTATTGTGTAATGTTTTTTTAATTTACAAATTAATTTTTTAGTTTATTAGATTTATTACTTCAAAGTTTAATTTTTTATTATTAAAATATCATATAAATAATTCGTTTTCAAATATATTATTAGTAATAATTATAATATAAATTAATAAATATAACTATCATTATGGTATAAAATAAATATTTGTTAATTATTTTATATATATATTTATGTTTTTATATGTTTTAAAATTTTTAAATTATTTTATATTAGATTTGCACAGTTTAAATTTATGTTTAAAAATAATTTTTCGAGGTTATGGTTTTCGCCATTGTTTCTTTAAGAGATATTCGTCGTCAACGAAATAAGAAAATTCGATGGTTTATAGAATTTTTCTTCGAGCTTTTTAGTTCGAAATTTTATATTTCACCTGACGTTTTTACTTAATTTTACACGGACTTTAAAATTTTCGTAATCGATCAAAATGATTTATAAAAAATGCTAATTAATATTAAAACAAATTTATTTAAAATATTCTTTTAAAAATGGGTTGTTTTTTTTTGTAAATGGTTTTGTTTATAACAAAAATAATTAAATTTTTTTTTCCGACTAACAAATAAACCTTACAATATTTCTTACCAGTTTTAAGTTCTTTTACATTTAAAAATCTCACTCTTCATAAGTAGTTAGTATTAAACCGCCATTTTAAGGCATAGTTAATAAACTACGAAGAATAATTTAAACTCTTTTGCCTATAACCAAATATAAAATATGATAAATTAATTTAAATTATAAAAATAACTATAAACATTACTAAAGCTTGTATATCTCGCTTAAATATGAACATAAAGATTTAATTGATGAAAAACATCATGAAATTAAGACCCTGGCTTGCTTCTTGCTATTTAGTTTAAACAGCTTTGGTAAAAAATTGGACTTAAGAAGTAGAGATGAGTAAAAATAAAAAGATAATTTGACTTGATTAAAAGGGTTTTAAAAATCTTTAATATGAATTATTTGATATTCTCTTTTCCGTAAGTCAACCCTGCAATTTTCAACCTTCGTTACGGGTATAATTTTAGGCGCTATTTCTTAAAATAATTTGTGCGATTCAATTCTTAAAATGCGCACTTTAACTTTTCAGAATAATGAAAAAAAGTGCTTGCTGTTTCAACCCAAACCATTAGTAGATGTAGTAGCACTATTTGTACTTACTATTTCGGTATATAGTCGACAACTTGTTAATTTCTTATTTGAATTTAAATCATTTAACTATTAAATATATCTTAAAAGTTTGGTAAGATTTAATTTTTTTTTTTCTTGATATGCAAAACAAACAAGTGGTACTAAATGTGTTTGCAGCATAATAATTGAGTTTATGACGCCACTCCTTAAGGTATAAGACCCCTCAAAAAAAAAATTATTAAAAAAAGTTTTTTAACAAAAAAAACAATTTTATCTTGAGAAACAACTAGATAAAAGGATTTTAAAAAATACAAAATAAATTTATTAATTGTCATGGCTACCAAGCAAAATGAAAATATTTAAGTTACCCAGGCCAAGCTATCTCAGTAACTGAAAGCATGTAGGTTATGAATTTTTGGCATATGGTTAATAAAATACTGATCTACAAACCGAACTAAAATTATTTAAAAAAACTTAGTACTTGACCTATAATAAAATTTTCAAAATGGCGTACTAAAAATATGATTTTTTTGTAACTTGAAACTATAAATCAAAAACTCTTGATTGCATTAAAAAACTTTTAGTTCCAATTGTACAACCAGATGCAATAAACATTTGGTGAAAATTTCATACAAATTTAACTTACGGTTAATGAGATAGGAAGGCCGGGAGGTCAAAAATTTACATTTTGAGAAAAACTCGTTTGAATATTATATTCATAAATTTTCATGATATTTTCTCTCGTATACTCAATTGACTTTTATTTATATGAACATGAACCAGGGTCATAAAGACAACCTTCTTGATCATTTTTTTTTTGCATCCACGAATAACTTTTCGTTGCTTTTTAGATGTAATCCGATTTTGATATTCTGCAAAAATTAAGCGCTTTTTGTTTGTGGTTGAACAGCCTTGGAGAGTATAAATACCAGAAATCATATTCAACTTTTCAAACAAAAGTATGCTTGCTTTTCTTCCAATATTAAAATTTGAAACAGCATCATAAACTCCTAACTCCAACTGCGTTAATGAAACATACTTTGTTTTAGGTATGCGCTGCCATATCATTCCATTAAAACTTTCATTCTGGTTTTGGGTTTTACCATGAAGGCATTTTTTTAAGAGTTCTTCTTGAGATAAATCTATATATATAGGCTTTAGATGACTGACAACTGAGAGTGGAAGCACCTGGCTTGTAGGTAAACGTTAAATTAGCTTTATCATGTTTATAACGACACCAACTATTGATGCCATCTGGGCAATGAGCATGCCAATTATTTTCAGCTGATGATGCAACATGAAACAATGTTGCAAGTATGGTCTTTTTCATACCTTCTAAATCATTGGCATTTTGCCTAACAGCAATTCCATAGTGGTTTTGTAGGCGATCAATTATAGCATTTGTTAATTTGCCTTTGCCTCCAAGTCCAATTTACATTTTTTTTCAAAATTCGCAATCTGCTACCAACACGTTTCTGTACATGTCCAACACACTCCAACTTACACATTGTTATACCAGGATAAGTATCTTTAACATACGAATAGCTTTTACAAACACCGTCACCATAATACTTTACATACCTCAGTTTATTTTGTGAAATAAAACGGCTAAATGTTCTTTGAGCGCCAGTTACTTCCATTCCAGGAGCAGAGCCACGATAATTTAGTTTACATACATGTGATGATTTCCAAGCTTCAAAGGCATTTGGGTTATTTTCTTTAAGTTTTAGTTTTAAACTACATGCTTTACATGATCGACTCATTGGTTCACAATCAAGAATTTTACCTGTGTCCATTGATATAGCAGTAACCACTCCATTTAATGGGGAAAATCCACGACGTTGCCAGCTACCAATTATAATCCGGATTGTAAACAATTTTTGCAACATAATTGACTTATTACACCAAATATAATTTCAATGTCAATAATACGATAACCAACAGTTTTATTATTACTTTGATGTGGTGTTTCAATTTTTTCAACTTTTTTCGAGGATATAGATAAATCTAATGAACTATTATTGAAAATAAGGTCATTTTCAGAACAGGTAACATTGTTATTAACAGGAGCTACTGATAAAGTTGAATTGTTTGTCAAATTTTTGGTATACCTATTTCCGTGAAATCTTCTGGATTTTTTACTTTGAGTACTTTGTTTAACTCTGCATGATTTACCCATTATTGAAAAAGTTTATTAAATAACACAAAAATAACTAAATAGCTGGCAATTCTTATAAAAAACCTGTTGCTATGCGTGTTGCTAAGCAGATCAAATTCACCCAGTTGAAGGAAACCTTTTATATCTCAAATACTAAGCCTTATTTTTAAAAAAAGTTTTTAAATTCGGATTCAGC